TGGGCTTCTATCTCTCGCTCTTTCGATTTCTTTCTCTCTCGCTCTACCTCTCACTTTTACTCTTTGTCCTTGTCTCTGCAAAATGGCCACAATATTATTTTCAATTTATATTTATAAAGAAGTGTCTTGTTGCCTCAATTTAAGATCGAATAGCCATCATAATCTTTGATATAATTTCTACTTTATGGCCGATTGTTATTGCTGCTATTGCAGCGTCAGTATAAAAATTTACACATTGATATGTTTTTACGAGTGCAAAAATGTAAACAAATAAACAAAACGCCAGCCATCAAAGACCAATTTCAATGTAAAATGTTGCCCAAGCAGACGCACACACATGGCTCGTAATATGTGTTGACAATTTATACGCTTGAATACACACTTAGACAAAAGGTTGTGAACACCGACCCCGCCCCCGCCCCGGACTCGACAGGCTGTACCGCCGGCAACAACTACTACATGCATAGATGAGCGGCAACAATAACAGCCGAACATGTAATTTGACAATACCAGCAAATGGCCATAAACCATAAATTCTTGGCCAAAGCCAAGCACTAAAATTGCGAGAAGCCCAACACGTTGCGCCTAAGCTCCTATGCCATTGTTTTTTGCCTGCTGTCAGTGGATGTTTCTTGAGATCTTCCGGCGAAACTGGCTCTCGTAATCGCCCGGCAATAAAAACAGGCCAAGTAGCAGCAGCAGCAGCAGTCGAAGCAGACCGCATAAAATATTATCGAAATCGTCATATTCTTGCGTCGGCCTGGCAACCCTGCCCGCAGTCGCAGCGCAGTCAGGCGTCTCGCACATAAAAAGCACATAAACAAATAAATCGACATATATGTAACAATCGCCTATTAGTAAAACTACCAGAAAACACAGGCAGCAAAAGTAAAGAGAAACGACAAGTAAAGCTCAGCTCTGCCAAAGACTAAATACCCTTGCGAACATGTGGCTAAGAAAATCTGCTATAAAAAGGCTTTACTTCCGAACGATTGTTCCGATACGAGCCATATAATAAAAACTCTTTGATACGGGCTTGAATATACGTTGATTAAAGATATTTTGAGAAACAGAAACATGCTTAATACTAAGACCAGTTTTTTGCCAATTCTTCCTATGTAATATATATAATCCAACATTGATAAAATGTTGCTCATATGTAAGCTGCACGAAAGAACTCCTAAAAAGAAAGTTTCTTCAAGCTAGCATAAAACACAACAAGAACTCAATTTTTGAACAGTCCCAGAAATTGCTATAGCAGCTATATGATATTAAGGTCCGATCAGACCGATTTCGATGAATGTAATTCCTAGTCTACAGGTCTACTGATCAAGAATATATCATGTGATAACATATTATATGATACTGATCAATTACCTAAACACATTATTGGATCACAGAGGGTGACTTCCATGTGTTACACACTGAATGCTTTAATTATACTACCCTCTGCAAGGGCATACAAAGCCACATGAAAATAAATGTTTATGTAGAGCGTTTATATATTTAGTGCCTAGTTTTGGGGCGTTTATCATGCGTGGCGCTTACATATGGCATTAGGAGCAAAAATAACTAGATTTATGCGTTAGCTTGATTTAAATCAAGGCTCAAATGAGCTGCCAACGATGAATTACTGTAACCTAAAATCATATTAAAATTTTGTGCGCACACAAAAATCTGAGAGAGAGAGAAAGGGAGGGAGAAAGGGGGGAGACCACAAGGCATCCATCAGAATGTGTCAATTTCAAAAGTTTCCTCAGTTGCATTTCGCTTCTTTTTTTTTTCTTTTTTTGTACAGTTCGCGTTTTGTTGCTTTTTTTGGGCACATTTCAAGGCGTCAATGCCATTTGGCAGTTTTATGCTTCTGTGCTGTTCCGGAAAAGTTTTCCATGCCGAATTTCACTTTTGAATATGCAAACGTTTTCAATATACTCCTCATTTCTTAACATAATCAATATGTTAAATAGTTTATTACACTATACTACAGTATACTACAGTTTTTTTATAAATGTTTTTTATTTTGTCAACTTTGCTTTGATAATAATTTAATAATTCTCAAGTGGTTATAACTTTCGAATAAAGACAAAGCCTAGTACATCTAGAGTTGTCAGCAAAGCCTGCTGATAATTGGTAGGTTCTTAATATAGCTCTACTATATATATAATATAATAGTTTCTTATTTAATTTTTATTATATTTAATTTATGAATTTTCTTATGCCTCAAATTCAAATTGCTAAGTTTAATTACACTAGATTATTTGTATATTTTTTGTGCCAGCTGCAAATGTAAATGGGAACTTTTCTTTTAGTTTCAGTTCATCAGTATTCTGACAGTGTTTGTCAATAAAAACTATGGAGAGGATTTGATTGTTTTGTAGATGAAAACAAACTTGTTTATAAAACATTATAGAGGGTATTCGAATGAAATGTGTGGCTGTCTCCATTATATAAAGACGAGTCCAAGTTTATCTGCCAACTTCTCTGCTGGAAGCTTTAAGGCTTCTATTGCAGACAGAAATCGTTCCGATCGTATCACTATATCAAATACAACTGGAAAATAGGAATCTTCTATCCATATCTGAGCAAAGTCTTATCAAGATTGGACTACTATATTATAAAAATCTTTATGAAAAATCTTTCAAAATAAATGAGATTTTTTGTATGGAAAGGTTTCTTGAGCACACTTAACCCTCAAATAGCTTATATGTAAATAGTGTAAAAGCACATCTCTATAAAGGGTATTTAGGCTTCGGTAATAGCCAAAACAGCCATTTTTTAATTTTTTTTTTCTTTCCTTGCAGCAAGTGTGCTAAAAATAATGGCATTTTATTGACCAAGGCTATTGGCGGTTAAAAGAGTACGAACAAATGTAGTTAATTTGGTTAAATGGCCAACGAAGGCAAAAGCAATTTAAATAGTTAGTAAAAAAAGCAAGTAAGATGTTCTAGTCGGAAGCTCCCGACTAGGGGATACCCTGAACCCTCTTCTTCCAACATCAAATGCATATATATATTCTATTTTAAAAGCTATTATCAAGTTTGCGGACTCTAGCTCTTATTATTGCCCAAAAAACAGGATATCGATATCGATTTTTATCGATTGCTTGGAAACGGGGCAAGTTATCGATTATCGGAAACAAACTCGATCTGCGCGGGAACTAGGAGCACCTACATCTCTAGCTCTTACAGGCTCTGAGATCCTTGCGTTCATACATACAGACAGACGGACCGACGGACCAACGGGCGGACGGACGGACGGACGAACGGACGGACGAACGGACGGACGGACAGACGGACATGGCTAGATCGGCTCGGCTATTGATGCTGATCAAGAATATATATACTTTATGGAGTCGGAGATACTTCCTTCTGCCTGTTACATACATTTACGTTTTGCACAAAGACAATATACCCTTTTTAGCCATTTTTAATGGATTCAGGGTATAAAAAAAATGGTTGCGGCAGCATTTTGTTTGGCAATAGAACGTTGCATCATTGAGGCAACGGAAATGGAGTGAGCCAAAAGCTGCAACAGCAGCAGCCAAAGCTGGCAAACTATTTTTGCAACAAACAGATGCGCAGCCGGGATAAGCGCGAGATGGATGCGGGGCTTAGCGTGTGCCATTTCGGCGGAATATGTGAAACCTGCGTTTGGGAATTGCAAAGGCTGCAGATATTCGCTTTCATATGCTATTAAATTCGCTTTTTGGTTTCGCCAATAGCCATGGGCTCAGCCAGTGCGTAATCCATGGAGTTAGAAGTTAGTTGGCGTAAATGAGTTTACACACACACACACACACACACGCACACGAACACACCCACATGACAAATCCCCAAGCCAAAAATTTGATTATAATCAGCTTGACGGATTCTCCATGCGATTCGTTTGCGAATGACTGTCTGTCAAATATAAACGAGTATCTTCTATACACAAAATAGTCAACTCGAGGCATTAACTTAAGGGTAAACCTAGAGCTTACAGCATATATAAAGAGCTTAAACTTAGGGGATTAATTGGCTTAAACAAATTTAAGTAAAATTGCAAATTGAAGCATATTTTTATATTGTTTATCGTGCAGCAATGTGTTCAAGCGAGATATTTTATTAATTCATTTTCTTGCACTTACGAGAGTTAATGTGCCCTATTTAGAATGCTTGTAATGCGTGTCTAGCAGATACCCTGTAATGAAGACTAAGGTTGTGCTATTCACGTTCTGGAAAAATCCACATATTTGCACAAGTAAAAAGTTTTAGTCATTAGAAACTTTTCTAGGAATAAAATGAAGCATGCCTATATAAGGAACAGAAAATCCATTTTTAATTGATTTGAAGCCTAACTTGATGCTTGTCTAATATTTGTGCTTACGCTTGAAAGCTTTATAAATTTAAACAATGCCTAAAAACGGAAACTTTTTCAACCTAGCAACCGATTCCTAAAGGCTGCACTTACAGTGCCTGTCAATATTGAGCTGCTGCAGCTGCTCTTTGCAGCTCTGACATGGCCATAAAGTTTGTTGATATCGTGTGCCGTGTCGTGACTTGGCTGCTGTCCTGCTTCGAGAACGGACTTCGAGGCGAGCACCTGAGCACGCTTCGGCAATTCAATTAATGGACATTCAAATGATATAAACCTGCTGAGGCATTCTGAGAGGCCAGCGCTCAGTTTCATTAGCAGGCACTGCAACCGGATTGAGGTAATGTCAGCAAACATTTAACCAACCCCCCGCCCAACTGACTATACACACGTGTCGCAGACAAAACAACAGGTGCAAAAGCAAACAAGCAAAAACAAAAAGAACAAAATAAAAGAGTAAAACATTCATGGATATAGATGCCCACAACTTTGTAGTCCCTGGCAACGGTATTCGTGTTGCCCGGGCCAACCGCAAGCAACAACAAATTAAGTTTCATTGCGAGCAAAAGTGAAAGAGTTTCAGTGAAAATTGAAAGTGCGGCCGCAGCAGAGCTAAAGTTAAAATCTATATACAGATATATTATGCGATGAGTCAGCGCACAAAATTTATAATAAATACATCGGGTAACAATAATAAAATCATCCAAAAAGTAGTTCAAGTTGAAAGTCTTACCTGAAAGCCATATACATATAGAAAACTATAAAATTTTCAATTCTGCTCTACATTTTTGTTATTCAACGCCACGCCCATATTGCCGCCCAGTTGAGTATTTTGCAGCGCGCATTCCGAGCACGGAATTGGATGAACAAACAGCGACTATATTGGAGTTTCTAGAGCAGGAGGAGCACACGGTTATCTCGGCCGTGCATAATAAATCCGATGGCAAAATCAAATTTCAGCATCGCATACCCAGCGACGAAGTCTGTTTACTTTTCTACAAGGTGCCGCAGGTGGGCAATGGGGGAGGCAACAACGGCAACGGGCACGGAAGAGATGTCGAACCACCGTTGGGCATATTAACACTGGAGGGTGGCCTGGTTAAATCCATTTACAATTCCGTTTCACGTGTCTTTTCGCCCCATGCCACGGCCCGAGTAAGTTCCCACACGTGCATCTACTATATACAGTAAAAGCTCGACAGACGAACAGCCTGGACTCCTTTAAGCCCAACATTTCTTAGCTAATTTAATAAGAGCCGAATCATTAAATAAATTGATTTATGGAACATTTTGAAAAATGTCAGAAGCAAGGCTTGAACCAGGGTCTGTGAGACTCAGAGACGCAACGCGAACCACTTTTTTTATACCCTTGCAGAGGGTATTTTAGTTTTGTCATGAAATGAGAGACATCTTCGACAAAGTCCGTCTTTCTGTTGTCAGTGTATATTTCGAAATGATCTGGCCACTATATCATATAGCTCACATGGGAACTTTCGGTCGAAAAGCAGATTCTTGTATGGAAAACTTTTTTGATTTTCCAAATATCTAGATATATAAGTTTCGCTATATGCGAAATCTGATCGAATTCGGATAACTATAGCATAGGAATGATTGGTCGAAATTTGCATCAAACTCAGCCTTTACGAGCTTTATTATTCTCACATATCTCCAAAACCATTAGGGAAATCTTTACAAGGGTATTCAATCTTCGGTGGGCCAAGGATATTCTTACTTTCTCGCTTAGCGCACATTTGGCAATAAGAAACAGGTGAGAAAACGCTGGCGTCCACTCAGGAGAGTGTTCACTGTATCTGATTGGAACTCGTAGTCGTATGCAGTTTATACGTTAATTCCAGTTGGACTTTAAATTATTTTGCTGTTTGCCCAGATCCACTTTCTCAAGGAGGCGCTGGGCAGAGGGAGGGGGGGATTGCTGCAAGCGGCATTTTAATCGCATTTGCACATAATTCAATTCTTTTTGCAATTTCATTTTGTCAATTACATTTTTTTTTGCTTGCCAATGCCGAATGCAATATATTTTATATTTAACTTATATCCTATATAAATGTTCTTTTGAAGCGCAACGAATATAGCCCTGAGCTGAGCGGCCTCCTGGAGAATTTGCATGTCTCGCTGGGCTCCACATTGGGTTTGCCACAGAGCGGTAAGCGCAGCATTGACTTATTATTACATAATTCTGTTCCAAACTTACCAGAATCCAATATTCCAATATTCCAATTATTCCAATTGGGTTTCCACGCTTGTGACTCTTGTGTTCTGCAGCGGTTCACACTATTTTAGACGCACAAGCTGCATTGCTATTAAATACACTAATGCATTCAGCATTTCATTTCTTTTCCATTTCACTTTCTTAATCACTATTTAACACATATTTTCACTGCAAAAAAAAACAAAAAACAAAGCATTTTATTTTCACTTGTGCCAACTTGATTCCAATAATCGCGATAGACTGCCCTATCGAACACTAAGCTGATCACGTTTATCGATAGGCAACATCAGACAAAGTAAGGCTTATCCACTGCAGTTAACTCACAAATGCAGCATACTCACGCAACCACATCTAAGCACTGTTGCTTTGCATGAAGTGTACTCACTACGCTGAAGTTGGCAAACTTAGTTATTATGCTCCTTTAAACGACCAATACTTTCAAGAAAGTCATAATCATAGTGTGAAGGCATGTCTTAGGCATAATATATTTCGCTTGCAAATGCGGCCTGTTGGAAGCATATCAACTATCGCACAGCAGCTCAGTGCAGCATTTGGTCACACTGGCTTTTGCGAATTTCACAATCTAACGGGAGTTGCTATTGAAGCGCGCGTGTTACGTAATTTTGGCGCGTGCTTTTTGTGAAAAATCATAATTACAGGCATAACAAGCATAAAAGATGAGATAAAATACTGGAAACAAAAGCTGGGCCAAAAGTCTAGTTCGCGCCTTGATCGCGAGACGGCGCAGGTATTCATTGGCCTGCTTGAAAATATTGAGCAGAAAATTAGGTAAGTACTTTGGCGTATTACTAAAAGTTGTGTTATTTAATAAGCAACAAACAACGTGTAGCACCATCGACAGCGGCGGCAATTCGAGCAGCCGCATCGAGGAATTCCTCGATCATGCGCACAACAATCTCGACGAGCTGTGGCGCCTGCCCTACAACTATCCGCAGCAGCGCATGGCCGATCTGCTGGACATCATGGGCAATCGGCTGCTGGAGGCGTGTCTGGTGCAGCTGCTGGCGGAGGATATTTGGTGTCTGAACTCGTATCATGTCAACAATCTGATGAGCCAGTGCATGGACACCGTGGATGCCTGGATGCAGCTGTGCGACTCGCTGACCCGCCTCTTTTGGCCCAACTATGTGAAGCACCCTTGGCTGGGTGAGCCGCATGTGCCGCGTCGCGGCCAGCAGTTCAAGGAGCGCCTCGGCGAGATACGCAACATCAAGCAGCTGTACAAGCAAATCGCCACGCTGCTCAACGATGCCGAGCTGCAGGAGATGTTCCAGGAGCAGGCGGCCTTTAGCGGTGAGTAGCTGGGAATTCAAATTCAAATCAAATGCATGCAAACAGCTTGAGGTCTTCCTCGCCAGATTTCAATATATTCGACACCTCGCCCTCGGGTCAGGCCAAATGGCACAAGGCGCTGCAGCATTTCGAGCAGGTGCTGCAGCCCATTGACGAGCGCATGGCCGCCGCCTTGAAGTCGCAGCTGCATCATCATTTGAGCAATCCGCGTCAGGTCATCTTCATATTCTCTAAATACGAGATGCTCATACAAAGACCCGCCGTACTGGAGCTGCTCAGCATTGAGCGTGAGCAATTCCTGCAATCGCTGCATTTGTTGTTGCAGGATCTGCGCAAGGCCATGACCGACACGAATATGGAGCCCGATACGGGTCACCTGTCGGTCATATGCAACGAGTGCCGCTGGCTCAAGGTGGTGCAGTATCAAATCCAGGAGATCGAGAAGGTCAGCCACTTGATAAGTGGCCGCGAGGGCTTCGATAAGGTCAACAAAGCGGTGCAGGAGATCAAGGAGGAGACCGAGTCGCTGCTGCGTACCAATTTTGAGATCTGGTCGGGTCAATGCTCCACGGCCGTCAAAAGTGGAGAACTAAAGTAAATATGCACCCGTCAAAGCAGCTCCCATTTTAATACTCCTCAATCCTCGCACAGGCTGCGCGACGATCAGGCTGTCGTCAAGTTCGAGAAGGAGGGCCGTCAGCTGATGCGTGTCACGTTTAACCCCAAACTGGTTACCTTTTGCCAGGATGTGCGCGAGTTCGAGAATCTGGGCTATACTGTGCCCCTCGAAGTGCGCTCGGCGGCCACACACGCGGCTAAGTACATGTGCTATGCGCGACGATTGCAACAAATTGCGACATTCCACAATACCATTGGCGATCGTATGATACCCTGCCAGCGGCCAATTATGCTGAAGAATGCGCTGGAGCTGCAGCGTCTGGTGCAGAGTGAAACGGTTGCCTGGCAGGATGAGGACTCGGTGCAGCGTTATGTGAACATCCTGCAAGAGGCAGTGTCCAAGCTGTCCGCAGACAACACGCTGCTGGTGGGCTATCATGAGCAGGCCAAGCGCACGGTGAGTTCTGGCTGCTGGAATAAAAGAAAGGAACACAAATCGTATACCTGTTACCTGAATTGTGTGCTCTTCTAGGTCATGAAGCTCATGGGCACGGATCTTTTGACACAAAATCAAGTGTGGAAGGATGAACTGCGTCATTTACGCGAACTGGTGGCCACACTCGAGCGCCAGGGCTATACAAATTTGGATGCCTTCAAGCTGCACTGGGACCATCAGCTGTACAAGGTGCTGGAATATCAGTATATACTCGGCCTGCTCGACATGAACAACAAATTGCCCGATATACATATAAAGCTGGTGCTGCGACAGCGTCAGCTCTGCTACAGTCCGCCGGAGGAGGAGATACGCGAATTGTACTTCTCGCAGTTGCGACGTTTCATTGAGCGGCCGTGCAATTTTCGAGGCTTGTCCGAGCACAGCGCCGCGCTCTTTCAGACCATGGTGGCGCTGAATCGCCATCACTTTGGGCCGCTGTATGCACGTGCCGCACAATTGTTCGACAAGCTGGAGGATTTCAAACGCATCTGGCTGCCCTGGATAGCGCTAGGCTGTGTGGATGTGGAGCAGCTGTGCGGCATTCATCTAAATGAAGCCGCCGATTGGGATCGCAATTTTCGTTCATGCAAACAGTTCAGCCAGCAGCTGGCTAAGCTGCAGCAATCGGAAGAGTCCATCGACTGCATTGTTATCAATGTTCTGCCGCTGCGCACCGACATTGAATATCTGAGTAGACGCTACTGGGAGGCGCTGGCGAATAGTCTGCGTGCGTCCGTACTTAACGATGTGGGCGCCGTGCAGGAGTTTCTGCAGAATGCGCTGCAGTTCCTGCAGAACGTGCCCATGGACGAGGGCAGCATCAGTCAATCGGGCATGAAGTATGAGAAGATTATGAGCGAGCTGCCGCAGATCAGCAGCACACTGGAGCTGGTGCGCGAGAAGGATGCCTGCCTGGCCGGCTGGTGCAAGGAGCGTGTCACCGCCCTGGCGCCCATCATGCTGCAGTGGGAGCAACTGCAGCCGTTGCTGGAGAACCATGCGGTCATATTGCAGCGTCAAGTGGACATGATCAAAACCCAGGCGCACACGCAGCTGCAAAATCTGCGCAACGAGGCGGACAAGTTTCTGCTGCGCTGGGAGTCCACCATAGCCGAACTGGAGGCCAACGATTCCGCCAGCCTGGAGCTGTTCAAGGAGCGTCGCGCTCACTGGCAACAGCTGCAGCTAAAGAAACAGCAGCTGCTCGACGAGTGTCACAAATTTAACATGGAATTCCCCGAAGATGCACTGGCTCCCTTTGCTGCCATCGATGCCCAGCTGGAGCAGCAGTCACAGCAGTGGAAGGTGTATGATACATTTCTGGACGAACTGCAGCCCATATTGCACGAGGATTGGGCCATTTATAGACGGCGTCCGTATGTGCTGAACGAGTTCATTGCGCGCTGGGAGGGCTCGGTGCACGCCTCCATTGATCTGCCCTCGAAGCGCATACGCCAGCAGGTGGAGCGTCTGCAGACCACAATGCCCATTCTCCAGCAGCTGCAATCGGATGCGATCAGCGAACGCCATTGGGCAATCATATTCCAGCTGCTGCATAGAACTCATTCAAAGCCTTTGCATGCCATACAGCTGCAGGATTTGCTGGAGGACATGGATGCGTTGCAGGCAGCTGCTCCGGAGATCAGCAACATTGTGCGGCAGGCGGCATCGGAGCAGATAGTCAGGCAGGCGCTCGTGGAGCTTGATCAGTGGTCGGTGACGTCGCAGCTAAAACTAATTGAGCGCACGGATGCCACCGGGCAGCCTGTGTGCCTGATCAAGGACTATCAGGAGGTGCTCAACAAGATTGGCGACAACCAGTCGCTGCTGCAATCGGCCAAAAACTCGGCCGCCTTCGATAGCTTCTCTGATCAGGCGGGTCTCTGGGAGAGTCGCCTCAATACACTCGATGTGCTGCTCACCAGTCTGAGCCACTCACAGCGACGGTTAGTTTGATATAGATATCTTTTAGGCAATTTTAACCATGTCTGGCATACTCACAGCTGGGTCTACCTAGAGCCTGTGTTTGGCGCTGGAACCCTACAGCAGGAGCACGCTTTGTTCAAGCGCATCGACAAGGACTTTCGCTATGTGATGCGTGAGATACAAATGGATCCGCGCGTGACTTCCCTGCTGAAGATCAACAATATAAGCACCATTGTCAATGCGCTGGAAACTCAGCTGGCGCGTTGCCAGCAAAATCTGATGAGCTATATAACGGTAAGCGAGGGCGGGGGAACTAATACATTTGAAAAGAGTGTTTTCCACTTCTTTATCTCTTTACAGGACAAACGCAATTCATTTCCGCGTTTCTATTTTCTGGGCGACGACGATCTGCTCGAGCTGCTGGGTCAGGCTTCGAAGGATGCAGACATCATAAAGCGCCACATACGCAAACTCTTTCCGGGCTGTCATAGTCTGGGCATAGAACAGACAGCCAATGGCAGCCACTACAGAATTCTGGCCGTGCACAGCGCCGAGGGCGATGAGCTGCGCCTGAGCCAAGCCGTCGACATGACCGGCGACATTGAGGTAAACGAGCGGGCTGCAAACATGTCAAGCTATCGATTTATCTCTCTTGTTTGTAACTCTGACAGCGCTGGCTCAATCAGCTGGTGGCCGCCGTGCAGGAGACGCTGCGCAGCCAGATCTACGAGTGCTACAACAATACCAACGGCTCCAGCGACAATCTCAGCGAGCAGCTGCTGCGTCAATATGCCAGCCAGGTGCTGGCCACAGCGCGTGCCCTACACTTTACGCGTCAGACGGAAAAGGCCATTGGGGGCATGTCGCTGGCCAAGCTGCAGCAGCAGCTCAAAGCGGAAATAGCTCATCTGGCGGCCATGAAACAGCGTGCGACAGGCGGCAGCTTGCAATGGCTTAAGCTGAGCGCCTTGCTGCTGGATCTGGTGCATTATGTTGGCGTATTGGAGGAGCTGCAGCAACATAATGTGATGCACATTAGTGACTGGCATTGGCTGAGTCAGCTGAGATATTATCTGGGCGGCGGGCAGGATGCACGACAGGTGTGGGTGCGCATGGTTTATGCGGAATTTGAATACGCCTACGAGTTTCTGGGACATGCCAATAAGCTGGTTCACACACGGTTGACACACAATTGTTATCTTACACTCACACAGGCCATGCACATGGGCCTCGGCGGTAATCCCTTTGGCCCAGCGGGCACGGGTAAAACGGAATGCGTTAAGGCGCTGGGCGGCATGCTGGGACGTCTCGTTTTGGTTTTCAATTGCGATGAGGTGAGTTGCCACGCCTCCATTTGCAATTTGTCATAATGTCGGTACTATGTGTGCGTGTGTATATGTGTGTGTGCTTGCAGAATGTGGACACCGAAGCGATGAGCCTAATCCTTACCGGTTTGGCGCGCTGCGGCGCCTGGGGTTGCTTTGATGAGTTCAATAGGCTACTGGAGGCAACTCTATCATCCATATCCATGCTCATACAGCCCATCCAGAGTGCCCTGAAGGACAAGGCGGACAGTGTGCAGATTGGCGACCGCAAGGTGAGACATGATGAATGGACGGCCACACGGTTCATTTCAATTGGGGTTAAGTTAAAAGCAACTGGCCGGTCTCAGACCCATTGCCTGGTGGCAAATGGCAAGCATAGATTGATAGATTGAGCAAATGATGGATTGTAGGAATTGATGTACTTATAAATCGATGGACTGTAGGATTGTTCGATTGTTGTATATATCAATTGATAGAACAATTAATTGGTACATTCATGGATTTGTATATTAATAGGTTAATGGGGATTTATGTATTAATTGTGTAAAGGATTGATTAACAGTTATATTGATGAATTGGTAGAAAAATTGATTGATATATTGATGGAAGACACTTCGACTGATGAATTCATGGATAGATTGATAGGCTAGTGGATAGATATAAGAATTGACAGGTTCATGTTTTAATGCGTTGCGTTATTAATGAATCGTTGTATAGGTTGATTAAAAGATTAATTGTATTGTATAAATTTGATTGATTGATTGACCTAATGATTTTTATAGATATATAGTATCTATCTACATATTGGCTGATTGATGGTTAGATAAATACAATAATGATATTACCCCAACTAATTTAATAATTACTGAAACTTGGCCAGTTGTACGGTGAAGCATTATTTAATTATTAACCAGACTTTTAATAATGCGATTTTCACTCTTAACAGGTTCAGCTTAACCAGCACTGCGGCATTTTTGTGACCCTAAATCCAGCGGGTGGCGAATACGGCGGCAGACAGAAGCTGCCCGGCAATATTCAGGCGCTCTTTCGACCAATTGTCATGCAACAACCGGAGCCGGGCGAGATTGCACGCGTCATGTTGTTCGTTGAGGGCTTTGTGGCTGCAGCGGATATTGCGGAGCGCATTGTGGAGCTGTTTGATCTTTGCAGTAAAATGCTGTCCGCCCAGCGGCACTACGATTGGGGACTGCGCGAACTGAAAACTGTGCTGCTCGTTTGCGGCGAGGGACTGCGCGCGCAATTAGCGGGAACGCCCGTTAATGAGCATTCGGACGCCAGGCCTAGTCCGTCGGCGATTGGTAATGATGAAATGCGCATTGCTGTCCATTGTCTACGCTCATCAACCATGTCCAAGCTGGCGCAACAGGACGTTGAGTGCTTCGAAATGTTGCTGTTAAATGTGTTTCCGGAAATTGGCGCCTCTGAGGCACCGTTGACGCCGCTGCATCAAGCACTGACGGCCGCCTTTGCTCCACTAGGCCTCTGTGCCAACGACAGGCAAATTAAGAAGGCCTTGCAGCTGCATGAACAGCTCCAGAAGCGTATGGGCGTTGTGCTAGTGGGCCCACCCGGCTGTGGCAAGTCTAGCATTCTGTCGCTGCTGCGTCAGGCACTGACCGCAACGACTGGCACACAGCTGCGCGTGCACACCATCAGTCCCAAGTCGATGAGTCGTGTGCAGCTGCTGGGGCGACTGGACACGGACACGCGACAGTGGCTAGACGGCGTTCTCACCCACACGGCTGTGCTGGTCAATCAGGAGCCGTCGCACGTGCGCTCATGGATTGTGTGCGATGGCAGCATTGATCCCGAGTGGATTGAGGCATTAAACTCGGTGCTGGACGATAACAAGTGAGTACTAATTGTTGATATATAAATACAGCACAACTTTGGCATGCCAGACTTTTTCCTTGAAATTTTCCATCTGTTTTCCACGACTTTTTCACTCGCAATGGTGGATTTAGAATATTCGTCTCAATGTTTTAAGTGTTCTTTCTTCCTTGGACTAAGGAAAACCAATTTTTGATCAGATTTGGCAGCTTTCCTTTCAAACAGATTTTCCAAATTCATAGAATCTCTAACATTAGTTGATTTGCGTAGTTTTGGGCTGAATTTGTCAGAGTCGTTTTAACATATCCTAAATTAAATTTTCCAAACATTTTTATACCCTTGCAGAGGGTATTATAATTTTGTCGTGAAATGTGTAACGCATAGAAGGAGACATCTCCGACCCCATAAAGTATATATATTCTTGATCAGTATCAACAGCCCATATAGCCATGTCCGTCTGTCCGTCTGTCTGTTTCTATGCGAACTAGTCTCTCATTTTTAAAGCTATCTTAATGAAATTGTGCAGAAGTCCGTCTTTCTGTTGCACGCAGCACATATGTGAAAACCAGCTGGATCGGACCACTATATCATAAAGCTGCCATAGGAACGGTCGGTCGAAAATTAAGTTTTTGTATGAAAAAACATTTTGTTTATCAAGATATCTTGACCAAACTCGGCAATTATTAGTTTTACTAAGGTCCACATATATATGCAAAATCCTATTAAGATCGGACCACTATATCATATAGCTGCCATAGGAACGATCGGTCGAAAATTAAGTTTTTGTATGAAAATACATTTTGTTTATCAAGATATCTTGACCAAACTCGACATTAACTATTTTCCCTGTGATTCTTAGATACGGGCAAAGCACTATAAGCATTATAAAAAGGTTGGGTCTGCAAGGGTATTAGATCTTCGGCGTGCCGAAGATAGCCTTTCTTTCTCGTTAGATGTTCATTAAAATAGTTTTTCCCCCATTTTCCATCTCCATTAGTGAAAGGTCTTTTAAAATAAAAGAGGATTCCTTTCAGTGTTTAGCAACAGCTTTTGCTAATATATTTTGCTCGTACCTGCGCATAAATTCGTAATAATTATTTGCGGCTTGTCATATATATATGTATATCATAATATATGTATATATCGTATGTCATATATAATTTTTAAACGTATCAATTATCATATATCGTATCGTATCTTAATGTTGCAAGTATTGTATTGTACGGATGGGCAAATGCATCCCCTATCACTTAGCTACCAAAAACAAAGGACTTAAAACTTAGAAATGCTCAAAACGATGATATTAAATGAGGGAAGCCCACTAAAACAATAACGTAACGTAACGTAACGTAGTAAGTGTAATACACAACGTAACGTCATTTTATAAATGACGTCAAAGAGTCTCTCTTCATTCTTAAATTGAACATGAGTCTGTTTGTGTGTGTGTTCGCCAGCGGAGGAGTGTTGTTAACAGTTATGCTGAACTGAGTTTAGGTTCAATTGAACTGGTTCTTTAAACAAGCTACCAATTTGTTCTATTAAGCTGGTTCCCTATGCTACTTAGCTGTCAGTTTTCCGAACAATTTAGAGAACTTATAATAAATACATATAAAATGTTGTATACATTTTCCTGAACTGAGTTAAGGTTCAATTGAACTGGTTCTTTAAAATAGCTACCACGTTTTTCCAGGGAACCAGCTTCGCTTAGCTACTTAACTGTCAATTTTCCGAACAATTTAGAGAACTTAGTTTAGTATAATAAATAAATATACATTTGTGTATTGTTTTGAACTGGCTCTTTCTCATTGGCTAGTTCGAATTAACACAAGCACCTAAGAAATTTAAACTAATTTAGTTTAGTTCATTCGAAATCAGTTCACATTAGCTTCTTATCACTAAATATGCCAGAATTCTTAAACGTGTTTTTGAATAGAATTAAACTTAATTTTATTTTAAGCACATTTTGCAAATCCGCTTTAGAAATCTCGCATAATTAGTTAAATAAAGTTGATTCACTGAACTAGTTCGCACACAACTCCAACCTGTGAGTACACACTCCCGCCAGCTCTCATACTTTCTTCACTCTTAAAAAAATGAACATGAAATTGAAATTTGAAATGCGTTTGTGGCTAGTTGAGCTTAAGAACTAAAGTCGAGTGCATAATTCTCTCATTGCTGCGCATGTTGCAACTGTTGCTGCTGCGACGGCGGCGGCGGCTGGGGCGGCTGCTGCTGCTGATGCGTCGCTGGCGGCGGCGGTGGCGGTGGCAGCGCCACGGTGGGCGGTGGCGGTAGCGGCGCGGCTCGCATGTGCTGCATGTGCGCCTGTGGCGCCATGTGCTGGAACATGTTGCAATGCTGCTGCTGCTGCTGCTGTTGCAGATGATGTTGCTGCTGCTGCTGCTGTTGCTGCTGGTGTGCATTAAAGTGGTGCTGTTGTTGCTGCTGCGCGGGATTGACATCGGGTGGCGTTTGCAATATTATCTCCGGCTCCAGGTTGAGCGCCATGTCGGGCTCATCCGGCGGCGGCTGCTGCTGCTGCGGTCCGCCCCGCAGCGATGCCAGCGCCGCCGCCTGCGCAGCGGCCACGGCCGAGGCAGAACTTGTCGCTGCAGCGGCCGCCGCCGCAGCGCTTAAGCTGCTCACATCCTGGCCGTACTCCTGCTTGATGCCATTCGGTGGCGCCGGATACAGTGTGGCGCCCAAATTCTGATGCAGTATGGGATGGCAGAGCTGTGGCATCAGCGTGACGCCGGCTATGGGCAGGGCGGGATGTCCAAAACTGGGCGGCGGATACAGTTGCTGCAGCTTATTCAGCTGCTGTAGATGCGTGGGCGTGGCATGGCCAGCGGGCGTATGCATGGCCGCATTGCCCGCCGCTGCCGCCGTCAGCTGCGTCAGCGTGGCGCTGTTCAGACCGGACGTCGCCATCGGCATATGGGCGGACATGTTGCGGCGTCGCTGCTGATGAGCTGCCGCCGCCGCTGCTGCTGCTGCGGCGAGCTGATGCTGCTGTTGCTGTTGTTGTTGGTGGTGTGTGGATGGCTGCTGCTGCTGCTGCTGATGTTGCTGCTGCTGCTGCTGTTGTTGTTGTTGTTGTTGCTGTTGTTGCTGTGTCTGCGGCGTTGATATAATCACCTCAGGCTCAACAGGCACTGGCGGTATAATGCCCGCAAATTCGGGCGGCAATTGCGTGGGATCAGTCACCAGGAGACCCTTCTTACGCTCCTTGCGTATCTTATCACGTAGCTTTTCCAGCTGCCGGAACGCCTCGTTGGCGCGTCGCGCCTTCTTTCGATCACGATCACGCTCCTGCTCCAAACGACGGTACTCGGGATTCATGCGTTTGATCCGTTTCCGTTCGCGATCCCGTTCCCGCTGTATCATTTTCTGGCGCAGCTCCTCCTCGGGCGTCAACTGAAAGTCGAATAGAAGCGGGGAAAACTTATTAAAGCACAATGTGGCTGGCTCAAGCAATTGGGGGATATTGTACTCTGTATTGAAGGTCAGCAGTCGTGTGGTATATATAACAAACGAAAAAACTAAAGTAAACCCCAACCCAGGCTCAATATTTTCAACTACTTAAAACTAGCTGGTGCTGTCTGTCTGTGTGTCTGTGTCTGTGCCTGTGTATGTGTGTGTGTGTGTGTGTGTGTGTGTGTGTGTGTGTATTCGTGTTCGTGTGTGTGCACTTGTGTTTTATATATATAATTTAGAAATATATATTGGAAAAATGCTACGTTAGCACGTCGTGCCTTCTTGCGAAATCTATCGCGCTCGCGCTCCATACGCCGATATTCGGGATTCAGGCGCTTGATGCGCTTTCGCTCTCGATCTCGCTCGCGCATGATGAACTTGTGGCGCGCCTCCTCCTCGGGTGTCATCAGCTGCAATATAGAGATGGGAAGCGTTTTTGGTTTTTGTAGCAGTCGGCTGAGCAGAGAGTATTAAATACCAGAACTAAAGTACAGCTCTAAAGAGCGCTAGGCAAAGTTCAACAGAACAGAACAGAAGTTGGCATAGAATTTGTGCAGCTGAGCATGTATATGTCTGAGGCTAACCAATTTGGAGAAATTTTTAGAAATCAGAACCAGCGTTTTCTCCAAATACATAACATTTCAAATTAAGTAAATTATAATAATAAATTAAAATTGTTTATTTTAACATTAACATTTAACTCGAGCGAGCGAGAACTGTTAAATCAAATTTTGAGCAAAAAGGCGCTCTTTTATCAATTTTACTAACAGCGCCAGTTTAACATGTATGCCTATTCACAGCCATTAAACATAAACATGTCAAGAAAATCCCTGGAGAGCTCAATAGAACAACATATTGGGAGATTCTAGAAATTGTTGTGCCTGAACAATTTTATAACTGAGGCTAAAGAGTCGAAATAAAAATCGAACTATATATTAAGATATGTTAAGCAAATGTGCTCGTTCCTGTTATTAAAAGCGTCAGTTTAACATGTGCTTAACAGCCGTTAGACATATACATGTCAAAAGCAGGGTTTTACAAATTGTTTCTGTTGTGTTTATGTGTGTTGTTTTTTGTTAACCAATCATATCTTGAAACATTTCGCAGACTCCTAACGCTGCCCTCCGGCTGGCGCATACAGTTCGGCAACAACGTCAACTTTATATTCGAAACGGACGATGTGCGCCACGCCTCCCCGGCAACTATATCCCGAATGGGCATTGTGAACATGAGGTAAGTGGTTTTCAGAAAGGCTAAGCAAGTCACAGTCCATACTAATCATAATTTTTTTTACAGCTACGATCATTATCCCTTGAAAGAAATGCTTAAGCATGAGCTTGAAAAGGAACCATATGGTGATCTACTGCAAAGCTACATTGATGGAAATTTCCAAACAGCTTTCGAATGGCTGGAAAATGAAAATTTCTTGAGGTACGTAGGGAAAGATATTGAATGGGCAAAGGGAATTTAAGTCGATGATGCTTGATAGATGCTAATTAAGAAAATGCTGATCTATAGGGAATAATCTCCAATATATTTCCATATATATTTTTTGTCTGTGTAGGTCTTATTATACATACTTGCTTCTATGCTTTCATATATTTTAATGGAAGCCCATATAGACCCATTTTCAACAGATTTTAAATCGCATAACAAATACTACTTTGGTAGGGGCTGAATTTCGAGCATGAATGCTCGATTTCAGGATCAGGAGAAAAATTCGTTTATCAGCTATCATTGAACTCTGAATTCTCTATTAAATGCGTGCAAGATTTCTAATCAAATGTTAACTATTACTATCTCATTAACTGTCTTCTTTTCCAATAGTCAGACGCCCGGCATAAGTCGTGTCAGTGTGTTACGATCTCTGCTGCTCCAGCTGCACAATAGCCAGAGCCTTGAGGAGTATGGAGCGGCCACATTGCGTGCAATGCTCGGCTATATTCCGAGCGAGCGACAGCGTGACTTTGCTCAGCTGGTGCTGCAGCGGGCGAATCTGTACGTGGCGCAGCCCAATCACGCCGAGCTGAGCTACTATGAGCCGCAGCACAGCGCATTGGAGCAGTATGCGCTGGGGGTTATGGAAACTTCTGAACGGGATAGTCAACTAATAGTCACGGGCTATGTCAAGTCGTATCTAAACATCATCAGCTCGTTGCTGGAGCTGCCCCCCGGCCGGGCAATGCCGTTTATGCTCATCGGACCCAGTGGAGCGGGCAAGACGCTGCTGTTGGAGCAGGCGCTGCTGGAGCATTCGGGCTATCAGCTGGCCAGCATCAATTGCTCCACACAGCTGACCGCTGGCTATGTGCTGCACACGCTGCGCACGCACTGTGTCACGGTAAGCGGCGTGCGGGGGCGGGAATATAGGCCCAAACAATCGCGTCTGTTGCTGTTCATGAAGAATCTAGATCTATGCCAGCTGGATGATTGGGGCGCCTGTGAAATTGTGGAGCTGCTGTTGCAGCTAGTGCAACGCGGCGGCTTCTATGCGGACAATCTGGAATGGATTAGCGTCAGTGGGCTACAAATTTGTGCGTCCATTAGCGGCAATTTGTTAAAAATTTCACCCCGTTACTTGGCCATCAATCAATATGTGCGAGTGGCTCGACCCAGTCCATCCGATATGCTGGCCATCGTGCAGTGTCGCCTCGAGCCTTTGCTCCATACGCATTTCAGGGCAAAGAGCGGCGGCAGTCCCATCAATTTACAGCATGTTAGCGAGTGCCTAATGGAGTGCTTCGAAAAGGTAAAGGAATTGTGCCTGGATTTTGCTCTTTGCTGATTTGTTTATCTCGTTCTCCTTGTAGCTGCAGGCCACTTTTACTGCCTCCACTGGCCAACAGCAGCAGCGGCAACAGCAGCAACAGTTGCATTATCAGTTTAGCCCCAAGTGCATTATGAAGCTAATTGCGGGTCTCGTTTACTACCCGTCGACTGACTTCAATGAGGTAAGTGGCTTAGTTTGGGCTAATTGAATTGCCATCTGACTTTTTCTTCTCTGCCTGTGGTGCGTAGGCTTTGTACTGCGAGCTATTGGGCATGTTTAGGGACCGTTTGGCCAGTGAGGAGCATGTCCAGCAATTTGAGACGATATTGAAGCAAACTATGCGCAAATACTTTGGCAAAGAGGTGAGTTTTAGCTTTACTCCACATCTACATGTTTGTTAATTGTTCTTAATTCGTGACAGAAAATCTACTTTGTGCCCAAGTCGCCTAAATCGAAAGGACAGCTGCATGGCCTGACCCATGATGAGTGGCTGGAGGAGGTGCACAGGCAAATTACAATTTGCAGTAAGTAGTGGAAAGATTTAGGGCAATATACCCTCATTATTTTTATCGAAGAGTCCTCACCTCAATTAAGTTCATATACATCATTTTAAAGGCCTTTATCGATTTTCGAGTTTTCTAACTAATTATCAAAAATGTTTCATCTAAAGTTACTTATTTTTTTCTATTTCAATCTGAGTAGTTTCTCAAATTACACAAATTTTTTACTTTATTCCATCTATTTATCTGTTGCTTATCCTACTTGTATATATATAAAATATTTCTAACCTTTTCACTACCTCACGTAGGTCCTTTTTTCTGCATTTAAATAGCTTTATAGTTTTATGACCTCCAAAAATTAAGAGCAAAAGTTAAAGCCCTGAACTCGTGATCTACTTGATCAATCGGAATTGCCAAAAATATATCTATTTCTTGTCCAGTCTAGAGTTTCTGTTTGTCACACGCATCGAAGTTGAAGTTGTACATTTCCCTTGGAACTATTCACTGAGGATATGATGTCGCTGAATCTTTGCGGTTTCAAGATATGAGCAGTTCAGAGAGTAAATAAAGGAAAAACAAAAGAACAATACAATATGAATCGGGATAACTACACTGGGCCTTGGCGTCTGTTTGCGAAATCGATCCCGCTCTCGTTCCATTTGCCGATATTCGGGATTCATGCGTTTGATGCGCTTTCGCTCCCGATCCCGTTCCCGCATGATGAACTTTTGGCGTGCCTCCTCTTCGGGGGTCATCCACTGCAAGTACATAGAGAACGGGTAGAAAATGACAAACAATTTCGACTCACAAAACGTGTTATGTTTAAAGTGGAAAAGGAAATAAATGTGTCGAATGCAGTGTGAAGTCAACTTCAATGCCGATGCGTGAAGGAGTATTAGCTAATGTTCAGTATCTTTACAGAATAGGTTATGTTAAAGTGACGCTGTTAACTGACAGCACTTGAACTCTGTTAACTTACGAATGTTAAGGATCTCAATATATATAATTTATTTTGTTTATGGTTATTACTAATGTAACAAATGAAAAGTATATTAATTAATTTTATTAATTAATTTATTAATTAATTTCACTTTCAGATGCCGAAAACTACAGTATTTCATCGCCTATCACGGAAGAGCTGCTGCAGCACACGGCCAAAGTGGCACGCATCCTCTCCAGAAACGATGCACATTTGGTTATTCTGGCTGAGGCCGGTGACCGTCACTTGGATGCCATTTATGCGGCTGCCACGCTGCAGCAGGCCAAAGTATTGACAATACAGGGCGGCGCCAGCTATGGTCTACCAGAATTCTACAACGATCTGAAGCTGGCCATGCAGACGGCGGCGCTAGAGCAGCAGATGAGCTATCTGCTGATCGAACACTGTTGGCTCAGCTATGTGCCCGACATACTGAAACCGATTGAAGCACTGTTAGAGGGCAGTGAAATTCTGGAGCTCTTTGGCGATGATCTGGAGACGGTGGCCAGCGCACTAAAGCAGGCGGCGCAAATGGAGGGCTATCAGGAGTCGCTGGGCGCGTACTTTATGAAGCGTGAGTGCGTTGAACAGCTAATAAATTTAAAGTAATCTTTAAGAATACGATTTACAGGCGCTCGAGAGCATCTGCATTTGGTGCTCGTGCTGGAGCCGAGCAGTCCACAGCTGGCGCAATACTTTAATAGCTGCCCAACACTGCATCGTCAGATGGATATGCTCTATGTGCGGCCAGAGTCGCGCGATACGCTGGCCATGCTGCCAAAGCAATACATTGAGCTGCTCAATGAGGCGTCTGTGGCTGCGGGGCGTGGCAAGGTGCCTGTTTGCAGTAATTTTTCAGACGTGGCCGAGGAGTTGCCGCTGGAACAGCCAGCGCATCGCTACTATCAGCTCATTCGTAGCTATTATCACATGTATAGCAATGCCGCCGCTGGTATTGATCAGCGTCTGGGTAAGCTACAGCTGGGCGTGGACAAGTTGGCCGCTGCCCATGCGCTCGTCGACACCTTAAAGTCGAATGCATCGGCCCAGGAACAGGCGCTGGGTGAGAAACGCCAGCTGGCCAATGATGCGCTGCAAATGATCTCAGCCACGATGCACAATGCAAATGAGCAAAAGTCCAATATGTTGGAACTGAAGCAGCAGACGCAGCAAAGCAGCGAGCAGTTGAAGCTGCGACAGCGCGAGATACAACAGGAACTGGCCGAGGTGGAGCCCATATTGGCGGAGGCCAGCAATGCAGTGGGTCAAATCAAATCCGAGGCGCTCTCCGAAATACGCTCGCTGCGCGCACCACCTGAAGCCGTGCGGGACATATTGGAGGGCGTGCTGCGGCTGATGGGCATACGCGACACCTCGTGGAACAGCATGAAAACATTTTTGGCAAAGCGTGGCGTCAAGGAGGATATACGTTCCTTGGATCCGGCGCACATTAGCCCCGAGAATTGTCAAGCCGTGGAGCGTTTGCTTGCAGCAAAGGGCGACTCCTACGAATCGAAGAATGCCAAACGCGCTTCGGCAGCGGCTGCACCGCTCGCCGCCTGGGTGCAGGCCAGCGTGCGTTATGCGCGTGTCATTCAGAGCATAAAGCCGCTAGAGCGGGAACAGAATGAACTGCAGCGTAACCTAAATGCGGCCGAGAATGAGATGGAGCAGCTGGCCAGTGGCTTGGACGATGTGGACAAGCGTGTCCAGAAGTTATCCGCAAAGCTGCAAACCTACACGCAAGAGGCGGCCGTGCTGGAGCTAAAGCTGCAGGAAGCCGGTGCCACACTGCAGGCCGCCGAGCTGCTGGTGGGCAAACTGAGCGCAGAGTATGCCACCTGGAGCGAGCAGTTGGCGGAGCTAAAACGAGCTCATAAAACACTGGACGGCAAAATGCTGCTGCTCGCATTGGCCATCAATTACTATGCGAGCTGGGGCGTAGAGCAGCGGGGGTGAGTAGCTTAAATAATTTCAGACTAGCCTACATTTGCGCCTTACTCAAGTGCCTACTTTAAAATGAATATCACTTATGTTACACCCGTAGGGGTGGATTTCTAAAAACATGAGTGGAATCGTTAGATAAAATTTTTGTGTAGATTATCTTAAAGTGGCCAGAAATAGCTTGGTCTTAAACAATTTAAACTTTCATTTACAAACTACGCCATACTTTCACGTAGGGTGTAACACGTAATTGTATCAATTAATGTCCGGTCTAGAGCGAAAAAGTTGATCGAATCAGACAAAATCAGTTTTTAAGCTCTTGGATCAGCCAGTAGAAATATTTTTAAATACATAAAGATCGATTTGGTATATTAAACTATTCCTCATTCCTCCACGCAGCGCCTCAATAAAACGCATGAGCGTGGACTTTCAGCTGCCCGGAACAGGCTTTGATCTACGCCAAACCCTTGTCACCGAGCAGCAGCAAATCATTTGGGAGAGTCAAGGCTTGGCGCGCGACGCTCAGATCATTGAGAGCGCCGCGCTGCTGCGGGAGATGCTGTCGCTGCCCTTTGGCAGTTGTCCAGTGCCTTTGCTGCTCGATCCCACCCAGACGGCGGCGCAGTGGCTGACGGCGCATTTGCGTGCCGCGGGACGTGCCAGCGAGCTGACGACGCAGGGCAACGAGCGCCTGTGCTATCAACTGGAGCTGGCCGTGCGCTTTGGCAAGACGCTGCTGGTCATGGACTGCGAGCAGCTGCGTCCGCCATTGCTGGAACTGCTGCAAGGGCACGTCTATGTGCGCTTCAATAAACGCCAATTGGCGGTGGCCAGCAAACTGGTCGATCTGCACGAGGATTTCCAATTGGTGCTAATCAGCAAATCGCATCGCTTGCAGCAGCAGCTGCCGCCGGAGCAGCGTAGTCTGGTCAATCTGTTGCGCTTTACAGTGACCGCCACCGGCCTGGCGGATCAGCTCATGTCCAAGGCGATTGTGCTTAAGAATCCCGCATTGGAGCAGCAGCGCATTGAGCTATTGCAGCGCGAGGGTGAGCTGCTCAAGCAGCGCATGGCACTGCAGGACAAACTGCTGGAGCAACTATCCAAGGCTGAGGGCGATATATTGCGCAACGAGCCACTTCTGGCCAGCCTGAATGAGGTGAAGCGCAGCAGCGCCGAAATTGATGCTGCACTGGAGCAAAGCGGCCAGGTGAAGCAGACGCTGCTCTCACAATTTGGCGCACTGCGCGAACTGTGCGTCCAGTCGGCTGACTTTTATGCCGGCCTCACGCAGGGCTACGAGCTGTCCGCCCTGGTCTACATCGAGCTCTTTCTGGGCGCACTGCGTGCTCAGGAGTCGCAGCAGCAGCAGCAGCTTTACGAGCGTCTCGTGCGCAGCGTCTACCTGCATCTGGCGCGTGCCACACCACGCGATAGTCAGCTAACGCTGGCTCTTTGGGTTTGCCGCCAGGCCTTTGGAGCAGCGCTTGGCATCAAGGAATGGGAGCTGTTTATTAGCAATTTTATGGGCAGCGCCGATGGCAGCGTTCAGCTGCTCGGCAACGGGCTGCCCGACTGCATCAACCGCGAGGCGCAGCTGAAGCTGGCGCAGCTGCTGCAACAGCTACCGGAGCTGCGTGGCCAGCTGCAGCTGGACAAGGATTATGTATGGCGCGGCTTTATCGAACAGCAAACGGACGATGTACTGCGTGAGTAAATGTGGCAAATGTATTAATTGATTGGGTTAGAAGAGAAATCTTGATAATAGGCGGGCACGAAGGCATCTTCGATCCCAAAGAGTATATTATTATCTATTTTGTAGCTTGGAACTGGAAACCCTTAATTGGAGACTCATCTAAAGACGCAAGAATAAGGCTTTACGAATGATTTAGTGCCGCCCACCCTATCTTGAATCTACTTCCCACAGTTTTAAAGCCGTTGTGTGCTCTTATTTCTTGATAGAGTCAAGTGTTCTGCCTCTAAGTGGAAAAAGGAAAGATTATGCAATGCATTTGCCTTGACTATTATTTCCCTAGTATCAAGGGTCTGATCTCAGTATCAGATTATCTGGAATCTTTAATGTGCTCCGTTATTTCTTCTATCTCAAGGCAATGTCTGCACGTTTCGTGCTCCACATTTGTGTTATTAAGCCCTACAGTTTAAGATGCATTAATTGAGAATCACAGTTTTACGGTCACTGATGTAATCAAAAATATTGTCTGATAATTCTCTGTACCCTAAATATCAGGAAAATCTAAATGGTTTCTCTACCCAATTAAACAAAGCGCATAGATCCATGTTATCTGCAGTTTCAGAGTCACAGTTTTAGAGTCACACGTTTAGTTGATGTTTTAGAGGCTTCAAATTGGCCTTATTAGAACTTCTTCAAACTTCTTTAAATCAGGAATTTTTTTGCATTGAGTCGGAAACTCCCGTCTGTCAAGGTTCTTCCAGGATTTAATATTTTGTTAATTTTACAGCCCACGTCAAGGCACCCTTTCAGCGCGTGCTCTTGGCCCAAATCTTTCGACCCGATTTGCTGGTATCGCAGTTGCGTTTAGCAAGCAGCCAATTGCTGGGCCTGTCCCCAGAGGCGGCCACACAGCCGACGGTACAGCAGCTGCTGGAGCAGAGCAGCTGCGATCGTCCCGTACTGATGATAAGTCAGCCCGAACTGGATCCGGCCACAGAGCTCAGGGGCGTGGCATTGAAAAAATGGGGCCCCCAAAAGTATGTGGAGCTGGCCATCGGACGCGGCAGCGAGCAGCGTGCTCTGGTGGCCATGCGACAGGCGGCCAACCAGGGTCAGTGGCTGTGCGTGAAGAATGTGCATCTGGTGCCTCAGTGGCTGGGCCAAATGGAGCGTGAGCTAAGCGAGCTGCACAAATCCCCGGACTTTCGCCTCTGGCTGCTGTGTGAGTCGACGCACGGCTTCAGCGAGGCGGCTGTCTACAAGTGCCTCAAGGTGCGTTACGAGCAGCCGCGCGGCCTCAAACAGCAGGTGCAACGCATGCTGCAGAACTATGCCGGCCTGGAGACGGAACTGGCCACCAAGCTGCCGGCCAAGTGCCTGAAGATGCGACTGGTGCTCTTTCTGCTGCAGGCTGTGCTCCAGCAACGGCGTCAGTATATACCACAAGGCTGGTCCAAGTACTATGAGTTTGGCGAAGCGGATCTGAAGGCTGCGCTGGGCGTGCTTGGCTGGCTAGATGCGCAGCTGATCAGCGGCCGCTGCGACTGGATGCTGCTGCAGCGGCTCTGCGAGGCGGTGGCATACGGCGGGCGCCTGAACAATGCACGCGACGTGGACATACTGAACAGCTATCTGTCGCAGTTTTGCTGCGCGGATGTGCTAAGCAATCGCTGGCAGCCGCTGAGCCTGGGCAGCGCCCTGCCCACAAGCGGCCAGCTGCAGGACTATCATGCGGCAGTGGAGCGCTTGCCGGATGTGGATGAGCCGCGCATATATGGGCTGGCTAGCCAGGCGCAGCAACGGCGCGAAATGGAACAGGCGCGTCTCATAGTCAGAGATCTGCGAGCGCTGCAATTTGGCGGAGCGGCAGCAAGCAACGAGCTGGCCACGCCCAATGCCAGACAGCGTCTGGAGCAGCAGATCAAGCCTTTGCTCAGCCTCTGGCGCAAATTGGCCAGCGCATGCAGCATTAGCCAAGCGGCCAAGGAGGCGCTGGCCGGCGGCACAGCCTCAAACACAACCACGCCCACGCCCTGGACGCTGTTTGTGCACGCGGAGCTGCAGCTGGGCGCGCAGCTGTTTCGAGCAGTGCATCAGCTGCTCTCGCAGCTGCACAACTGGCTTAAGGAGACGGCGGGCACAGCCGCACAGCCGGCGGATGTGGATGCCAGCACAATACAGGCGCTGGCGGAGCAGCAGGTGAGTGCAGCGGGGGGAGAGAGAGGGAGAAGAAGGAGCACGTAGGCAGGCGGTACAATGTTCACTCGCAAATCAAAACCTTAATACTCTTGGTATTATAATTTAGTCATGAAGTGTGTTGAGCATATGTACAGTGAAAGCTCTATGGAGCGTACACTGATGGTAAAAGTTCTCCTGGGCCGCGATGTCCTCTTAAAGACTGTGTCATAAAAGTAAACAAGAAAAAATGTTAGGACTGTAAAAAATTGACGACTTGAGATCGTCACATAAGGCAGCTGTCCGTTAGTAGATCACTCACTGTACCTGTTTGATCAGCAATACCAGGGCAGTCGTTAAAGCTACCCGCACAAAGGAACGATCGGGTGAAAATTGAGTTCTTATAGGAGCTAACTTTTCAGTCCTCCAAATATTTTCTTCTAAAACGTATAAAATCGGACTACTCTAGATATTTTGGTTCCATAGGAACTATTGGTGGATATTTTGGTGCTTGTATGAAAAACCTTTGCTTTTCAAGGGATCTTTAGAAAAATCTGAGCTTTACTATACACTTATATACTACTATCAACCAATGCACATGACAAAATAATATCAGAATCAGATTTCTATAAAGTATAGGACATTGCATTTAAGATAATCATTGTGCAGCCAAAGAGTATGCCATATTCGTTTTAGTATTCCTTAACCCCGCACAAGTGTTGAAATATTGCTTATTGCTTCTATAGCATACAGGAAGAATCGAGCCTAGGATTAGCGATTTGTAGAACATATTTGTTTATCCATAGATAGAAATGTTCGCAAGAGTATTTCAACTTTGTTGTAATACTTTCAGAATCAGACTTCTATAGTTGTAGTTGACTAGCCTCTGTGTATATATAAAAATCTTTGCAAGGGTATTTCATCTTCGTTGTAATATGCCTTAAAACTCCCACAGGTCTTAATATATATTCAGAATCAGATTTTTAAAGCATATAGGAACTATAGCGCTTAGCATAATTGAAATTTTCAGAAAACCCTTAATTATCTATATATAGAAGTGTCCGAAAGAGTATTTAGACTTCGTTGCAATAGCCCTTTACTTCCCACAGATGTTTAAATATGATCAGAATCTGACTTCTATAGCTTATAGCTGACATAGGTAGAAACAGGCCTGCATTTTAGAAGACCTTAGTCTAGCCATATGTCTGCCAAGAGTATTTCATGTTCGTTGTAATAGCCTGTGAAACTCCCCACAGGTGCCGCATAGCTGGCAGAAGCTGTGGCCCGGTCCGAGCAGCAACAGCGCCGCAGATTACCTGCGCGGCCTGTTGGTGCGCGCGGAGGCGGCGGAGCAGCGTTACAGGCAGCAGCTGCAGCTGGAATTCGTTGAGGAACTGAATCTGGTGCATGTGTACAACTGTGAGAATCTGTTGGCCTGCCTCAAGCTGCAGCAAGCGCGCAAGCTGGGCGTCTCCACGCAGCGACTCCGATTGCAGTGTATTAACAATAGAGTTGCAGATCCCGAGACGTTGGTGCTGAAGCTGGCGCCGCTTAGGGTGAGTAGTTGTCCATTTTTACATTGGTTTATATTTAATTTATTTTGCTCTGGCGCCTTTGCGTCGCGTTTTGATTTGATGCGTGCGTCTGTCCGTCTGTCCGTCCGTCCATCTGTCTGTCCGTCCATTCGGCTGTCTCGTCTGGCTGTCTGTCACTCAGCGCTGTCTCTTTTCTGTGTTCGGGCCGTGGGCTCTTTTGTCTTTTTCTGTTTTTCGTGTTTTTTTTTTTTTCGTTGCTTTTTTCTTCGCATTTTGTTTGCTTACCTTGCCCATCTTGGCCATAAAATGCGTCTCCAGCTTGCCGTTTTCTGTTTGTTTACCACTTAATTGGAATTATATTTAGTTTTTATTTACGACATTTAGTTTGTATTTACTGCAGTATTTGATTTCGCTGCAGTTTTTCGCTTTTTTTCACGCCGCTTCTTTTTGTTTATTTGATTGACATTCCGGCGCTCTGTTAACGCAGTGCCAGGGCTGCACAGCAGCTATGTTAACTGTTATTTAACGCAAGTATTTTTTGAGTACCAATATTTGAGCACGTATTAATGTATGTGCACTGTTTCAAAGTTCAAATTTTTTCGTTTGTGCTGCAATAATTACACTTTTGGTGCACTCAAAATATTTAATTTGTTGAAAGTTATTAAATATTAAGTATTTTCGTAAAGTGTGTAACGTAATTGCTCCTCACTGCGAAAGTATTTTTATGCATTAACAGTGAGGAGCATAGCTTTGCTTATATTAACTGTACAGTTCGTTAAGTGAGCACATTTTTCGTCAAATGAGCACGTTCGTTAAGTGTTGCACAGTTTTGTCACAAATTCGCCGTCTCTGGTGCGTGCACAGACTAAAATCGTTAAGGTTGCGGTCCAAATAAATACTGGAATTTAATACGAATTTGAACTACACTATTTATTTGAAATGCATGCAGCTGGATGGAAATACACAGATGTTAAATACGAGCGATTCGAATGCATTTTATATTGCGTATAAAATCAAAGAAAATATTGAAAAGACTGCCAATGCGGATAAATTCAAGAAAATTGATCGATTTGCCAGCAACAGGCAGCACTCCGACGAGAGAATTACACTGCCACTGTACAGCAGGGCCAGCAGGGATAAGCTGATCTGTCATTTAAAACTGGAACTTGGTGGCGCCACCGCGGAGCAGGTACTTTTAGCAGGCACTGCTTTAATAGTTGACGATTACTGATGACGTCTGTCGAAATTCATCCCAAAAAAATGAATCAATCAGATAAACGAATATGCAGAATCCGCTGTAGAAGTATAATGGAAGAAATATGTCCAGAAAAGCCATTTTGGAATTGCAAAATTTTGAATTGAGAGCACAGGTGTTTGTGATCGGAAAATGAAACCTGATTTTTTTTCTGACTGAAATATATAGCCTGCTTTATTGTGGCTAAAAAGGCGATATAAATGGAAATAATTTTGACAACTTTCGGTACATTTGATATGTATATAAAATATATACAAATTAACTTAATAAATGACTTATGACATCAATAATTTGTTTGTTTAATTAACGTAGGATTTTGAATTTATGTTCTTTCGATAAATTCAAAATCGTATTTTCATATTTAAACTAACTTATACCAAGTTAGTAACTGTAAAATAAAATGGGTTTATGTTTGTTTTTGGCAGAATGAAGCTCTAAATGGCAGATTCTTATTTTCTAAATTTAGTCAAGAAGTTGAACGATCTGCTAAGGTACTAGTTCGCGTAGAAACAGTCGGACTGGTGGACAGACGGACATGGCTATATCAACTGAGCTTTTGTTACTGATCTAGAATATACATATATATTTATGGGGTTGGAGATGTCTCCAATGCTTCCGTTTCCATTTTATGACAGTATTATGATACCTTCCACCAAACAGTCACTAAGTCAATAAGTCAGTCAATCAGGCTGTCAGTCATTCTATCAGACAGTCAGTCGGTCCGTCAGTCAATAAGTTAGTCCGACCGTCAGTCAGTCAATCAGACAGTATATCATACATTCAGTCTGTCATTCATGATGAACAATTTTTAGTATGAGGATACAGTAAACTCTACTAACAAACACTTCTCTTTGGCGGACATTGTATACCCAACGATTAAGTTTGGCTCTACCCGCTGCCTCTCTCTTAGACGGACACTGCTCTTTGGGCTGTCCGCCCAAGTGAGTTTTCACAGTATTACAATTTATATTAGACTAATTTAATAAGTATTAACTACATTGCCATTTTCAACTGCCATTTAAATAATTTAGGCGCAAAACTCAAAATGCCTAATTGTTTTATGAGTTCATGTGTGTGTGTTTTTAGCTTGTGTGCAGATTGTTGTGGGTTCTTTGGGCTTCGTCCCAACATTAGCTTCGTCATAATCTGTAAATTTCCAACTAATTTCAACCACAAAGTGCCACAACCAACAACAACAACAACGACATCGTGAGCAAAAACAACAACAATTGAAGTGTATCATAAATGTTTGGGGCACAGTTTTAGGTGCTGTCCGTACATTTGGTTGCAAGCAGCTAGTTTGTTGCCAAGATGTTTACCAACGGTGATTTCTCAGCTTGCCCCATCCCCCTGCCGTCTGCCTCGTGCCACACCCACCGAAAGTTGCTTAAGTTTAATTAAGTGGCATTATGTTCAATTAGGCAAAAGTTTCGAATATGCAAATTAACACAATTTGTCAGCCAAGTGGCACGAATGGGTGGCGCCTCCAAAGCTGAAAGGGGAAAGGGGGGTATTCACTTCTGTGTCAGACAAATTGCTTTTGCTTGGTACATTAGAAAAACACAAATCAAAGCGTCCGCAAATGACAAAAGCAGCCCCAAAAATACATTTACTAACGTTGTGGGCGTGGCCAAAATTGTAAATAATTCTCTCAGCATTTAGTTTTGGCCATGCGATGCGCAATAAATAAATTATATAATACGAACAAGCCAACCGGAAATTATAGCAGCAATAGTTGTGGATGGGTAAGGGGCGGAGGGGTCTGGGTTGGGCAGGATTACCGAAGAAGTCGCTTTCAAAATATTGAAATTAAATTTATCTAAAGATAAGCAAATATTTAAAACCAATTTGTGTTGTCTTTTATTAAGATAAATTGATTTGGTTTAAGTAGGATGTGAGCCAATGCCAATTGTTGGCTTGAAACAGGCCAGATTAGATTTTCGCTTTTAATCAATATATACGGTGAAAACTTGCCTTGCGGACACTCCTGTTATGCGGACAACCTTTTTGGGCGGACATTTTCTCTCAAACCATTTTTGAATCAGGCCATACTCAATGTCCCTGCATTAGACGGACTCTCTCGGGCAGGCAAAAATTACCCAAAGATCGCTGTCCGACAAAGAGAGTGTTCACTGTATAAGTATTGAACTGATTGATTGATTGATTGATTGACTTACTAAATGATGGGTAAGCAAAACAATCAGCTTGGCATTCATATAATCTTTAGATATTATCCCAAAGTATTACTCCCTCCTTGCGAGCAACAATCCAATGGCATAGTAAAGTTTAAAGTTAAGAAAATGTTTTCTTTTCCTGCATTTCATATAAACTCAAACCTATTTGATTCCGTCCGATACTTTCCCTTAACCCAATCGGGCCTAAATTATGCAAATCTCGTCTCTGAAAGACATTGGGAATTGTTTGTAGCCAACTTTGATGATTAAATTTCAGATGTGTAATTAGAATTTGATAGGCGTGTGTCGCGGGTGTGCGGCTGTCTGTGAGTGTGTGTGTGTGTGTATCTGTCCACTTGGCCATGTGTGCTGACGTTTGATAAGTGCTTGGAGACAAATGGATATCCTTGTAATCCTTTGGCCAAGCAGCACACATTTAACAGCTGCCTCTAATTGCAGCTTCGCCTCAGCTTCAATGTCAAGGATTACAAATTAATTAAAATATAAAGCAAATGTGACATATGCATATGTGTACGTATGTGCATTTGACATTTAACTGTCTGTGTGTGTGTCGGCTCTGGTTGAAAGGTCCTACACTTGCCATAATTGTAGGCCTACCTAATGTGATTAATCTGTGGCCATCACAGTGCGGGCTCTTCCACTTCAATAACCCATTTTGGACATCGGATCGGATTCAAGAGGTCATGACATGGGCCCAAATACATATCCATTGTCTGGCTTTTGTGCGGGCTGCTTCATTAGTTGGCCAATTGAGTGTATCAGAATTACCACAGCAAACTATCCGATTGTTTGTGCCAGAAACTTATATATTTGAAGCGACTTTGTGGATGCTAAGTAGAGACTTATGAACATCTTAAGAAATTTAAGGAAGCTCTTTCCTAAACGATGCTTAAAGCTAATAATTAGCCATTTGTGCTGATTAAGTTTCTTTTGAAAATAGCTAAGATTGAACCTTTTCAAAAAAATTGTTATTATTTTCCACAATGTTGTTCTTTTAACTGCCACCTGTCAAAGTTAAACGGCACGAACATATTGTCACAATCTATTTCTGTTTCTGAACAACTACAATCAAATATGACTGTCATTATGACAAAATTAACAGCCATTTTAACCTGATGTCAAACCGTGTTTTGGTGTCGCAAGCATTTTAATGGGGCAACCACTTTGTCATTTGGTTTGCTCTAATTTAATTTTTCATTGATTTAGTAATAATATAATAGTTGTCATTTCCTTCCTTAATAAGGATTTTAGCATCTTTCTGTCAAAGTTAACTGCCACTTTAATCTGTTGTCAAACTGAGTTTTTTTCGCATTCGTTTTAATGTGATCTCTTTGTCGTAGTCAACTTTAACAATCACATTTTCTATTAAACTTTTAAAGAAGATTATATTTTTCTTCTCTAAAATGGTTTCTTTTTGCCTTCCTTTAAAGTTACCAGCCACTACAACCTGTTGTCAAATGTTGTTGTTTTTTTTTTCGAAATTTCTATAGTCATGTTAAGCTTTATCATTCTGTTATGCGCTTATTTAATTCCATGCAATTGCTTACAATAATTGTCTTTTTATTCTTTATGAGAGCGTTTTCAGCTGCCTCTTGTTGGGGTTAACAGTCACTTTAGCATGCTGTCACAATCGATTTACTTGCTCGAGTATTTTGCGACTTTTAGAGTATTGTATTCAATGCAATAGAAAATAATTATCATGTCATCTTATCTTATTGAGCTATTTCCACTGACTGCTTATCGAACTGTCAAATTTGAAACTTCCAGTCCCTGGGATATATTTTAACAGCTGCTTTTAATTAGCCGCTGGGGCTCAAAATCCATGTAATAAACAAGAGCATTTAACTAATCAGAAGTTTTCCAACAGCTAGCTAAATACTAAATACTAATCATATCAATATGGCCCCAAGGCAGCAATATTCGCACTTCTGCTTCTTGAAACTTCCAGTCAAACCCCTCACCGTCTCTCCGCTCACATATGCCTCACTTTGCCCTTAGTAAACGCAGGTGCTAATTTTCTCATGCGGTTGGTTAATGAAATCATTTTGAAAGTTTTGCTGAGCTGAGCTCTTGACTTATTTTCCTGGGCATTTTGTGAAAGCGCTGGAAAACCAGCAAGAGCACCAACAACAACCACATTGAGCTGGCGACAACCTGCAGCAAGTGGCTTTCGATGTGTTGTACCATAAAGTTTTTGGCCAAGTCTCTGTCAAGGACGTGCATGCTATGTGAGGATCTCTCTCTCTCTCTCTCTCTCTCTCTCTCGCTCTCTCTCTCCCTTTGTGTGTGTGTTGCCGCTGGCACATGCAAAATCTACAACAAACAAAAATCCCTGGCAACATGACCAACAAAAACGACAACAACGACAACCATTGCAACAGCAACAACGTAAACTTTTGTAAAACCGCACGAAAACTTTCAAGATTCACAACTGCAACACTTGAAGCATGCTGAAACACACGCAGGAATATTCACACACACAGGAATACTCTCTCACACACTTACACACACACATCCTGCACATCCTGCCTGTCGACCAAATGAGTTTTGTGCTAGTTTGTTTTAATGCCTGCAGCTCCAACTCTTGCCTCCCCCCCCCAAATATTTATGTGCATATAACCTAGGGCTAAGGAGGGATTGGGGGCACAGCTGGACAGCTGTAGAAATCTGTCCGGATCTGTTCGGTGTAATGAACAGATAACTGCTGGCTAATTGTTGTGTGGATTGTTGCTGCACCCGAAAGTTCCGCTCAAGTATTTATTTTAATTTGATATGTGCATAAATTTGCATTTCGTTTAAATTCGAAATTATCACTGACCCAAAAGTCAACTAGTCAACACGTTAGAAGAATTTTAAGTAAATCTCGAATGGGTTGGAATCTTGTATTAGAAGCAAATGCGAATGTTAACACCGACTGCTCAGCACTCCATATTAAGTGTTATCTTAGCTTAAAGCAGTTCGAAGAGAAGCCTTTTAACCAAAAGGCGTTAATTTCCAACTGTGAAGTAGCTAAGG